ACGGTGACCAGTGGGGATCCCCCCCCGCAACCCTCCCTCCCCCGCGGAGCCAGCGGGGCCGAGCCCAGCGGCAGCACGCCGCCTCCCGGGCTGCGCAGCGCGGCCGGGGCTGCTCCCTCCCTCTTCTTCCTCCTCCTCCTCCTCCTCCTCCGCCCCCCCGCAGGGCAGAGCCGGCGGAGGCGGCGGATGGGAGGACGAGCGGGCGCGGAGCGGGACGGAGCCGGCGGAGGTAGGTGCGCTAAAACGGGGTGATGGATGGGGATGAGGATTGGGATTAGGACTGGGGGCTCCCTGAGTCGCTGCACCCCAAGTTTGGAGGTGGCGGGACTTTGCGGGAAGTTGGGCAGCCGGCTCGGCACGGTACGGCGGAGAGGGAGCCCCGGGGGGGGGCGGAACGCCGGGCTCCCGGTGGGGCAGCCGGGCTCCGCGGGTGCGGAGACCCCTCCGGCTGCCCCCTCCCCATCCGGCTGCCCCCTCCCCATCTGCCGTATGGGGGGCAGCCTGACCGTGACTCCCCAAGGAAGTGTTGGGGGGGGGGAGACGGGAGGGTGTCCCCCCCTTACTCCGCGGGTGGGTCCCCGGGGGGAGCATCCTCCCGGTGCTTGGCAGCAGGGGGGGGGACAGTGCTTAAAACGTACCCCCGAACAGGTTATTGCTCGGGGGAGGACGGAGTGATGACAAAGATAATGGCATTTGCTGTCATCTGCGCCGGGCAGGTCCTGCCTCCAGCCGGGGAGCAGCGCAGGGGCTGGTTGCGCTGGTTTCTCGGGGGGGTTTTTGGGAGAGGAGACACTTAGAAAGCGGTTTTCTCCGAAAGATTCATTTCATTCCGGCAGCGCATCCTACCTAGAATGAAGCCGTGGATGGATGTTGCCATTCACAGATGAGTATTTTTAGGCGGAGAAGGGGGTATTTCTTAAATGCAAGCTGTTGGCTGTTAAAAATAGCTTCATGGCATGCTTTTGCTGAGAATGCAGTCAGGGTTCAGTGACGGGTTATTATGGTTAGAGTCTGTTAAGCAACAATTCACCAGCTGAACTTTGGTGGTGTCATATATGCGGGGGTTTTTTGGTGGTTTTTTCTTCTTTTTCTCCTGTGCTGCCTCATTGTAATACTACAGCCCTACAGGCACTGAACTGACTTTCTTAGACACTGCTACGTTTGTAGGTTAATAGGATGGATGGTAGTATTTCTAGGATGGTGCATCTAAACACCTATCAAACTTTTAGATACAGAAACCTATTTATGTTATTCTACGGTTCTATGGCCTAAAGTTCTCTTCATATTGATTTGCTTGCATGTAATACAAGAATGGTTTCGCTTCTTGAATTGTTAGCCAGACCAAAAAAAAAATCATTATCAATTCCTGTGGAACACACATGTGATTTTTGTATTTGTCTAAAAAAAGCTGATTAGTGGAGTGAGCAGATTACCAATTAAAACTCAAAGTTTGCTGGAACTGTTCATGAAGAGTAAATATTTTTAAGGCTTAACTGAAAATGATACGTGCTCATTTGTATAAGCAAACACCTAATTTAACAGCACTGTGTTTGGTACTAACTGGAGACTACTTGATCTGTGGCAAAAAGGGAAATTTCCATCAATAAGAGGTCACAACATATATGAGCTATAAAGACGTGTTTATATCTATGCTATTTATACATTGATATATGTATTTTATAGACAGACACACACACATATATACACATACACTCACTTACAAACAGTAAATACTAATGGAATAGTGTTGTCTTGAAGCTTTTTTTTGCTTGTGTTTAAAATGTTGTCACACATCTCTTGCCCTGAGAGCTTCTCTGCTGCTGCTGGTGCCATTTCACTCTTGGGCATTGAGTCAAAGGATTCATCTGGCTCTTCACATGCCAAAAGAAAGAAAATCAATTTGAATGCAGAAAAGGGGAAACTGCTTGCATGAAGATTTAGTAGTGAAACTACCTCTTATTTTATTTTATTTTTTAATGGCACTTAGATCCTGTGTCTTTAAGTATAGTCACCATGCAGCTCTGAAATCAATAACAAAATAGTTTTATGGTTCGGATTTTGTAATAGGAGGACTAATCTCAAATTCAGAGCGTTTTATTTGGTGGTTTGTAACAGGAGCATGATGAAACAGTGGAGACTTACATGACAAACCCCAATTCCACTAATGCAATGGAAGACAGTAATGGATTTTATCTTACTGCTAAAGGAAAAGTAGGTGTCTGGAAACTGTATAAATGAGAAGGTTGAAGCAGTCTCTCATATTCAGATTATTTCACATTGAAGTTACGTAATTCACTAGCAGCATTAGACAGGATGGGATTACGTAGACATAATCAGAGGGATGCAAATAAGATACTGCCTGTATTTTAACATTATGGTAAGCAACCTGCGGCAGGAGCTCTGTGAAGCTCAGGACTTTAAGTGGGCAAAGAGGTGGGCATGAAGTGGGGAAAGCCCAGGTGATATCACTGTTCTTGCACATGTTTTTAAAGGTGGACGCTGCCCCAGTACTAAAGTATCTCTCAAAGTGTTTGTTTATATTTAAGATCAACTTGTTGATGGCAGCAAACTCATCCAAAGCTCACGAGGTATTGCTAACCATGATACTATAATAAGGATTTCTTACCAAGTTCCTTTGCCTATTTTCTTATGCTGAGTGCTTCCTCATGGGTTCACAGAAGCAAAATTCTAGGAAGTTGTAACTCGGCGTTGTGCTGCCATTACGTTCTATGTTTTTAATGGTGTTTCGACATACTTTCTCCAGAGATAAGACAGCAGCAGCGGCCTGAGCTTGCCTAAACAACATATTGATTTAGGAAGTGAGAACATCCAACTGTGTTTCTCTTTTGGTACAGACACATCAGTCGGGTGAAGAGAGCTGTGACTTAAACAGGTGCCAATATACTCCCTCTCCCTCCCAAGTCTTAATTACCCTTACAATTACTGTATCCTTAAAGGCTGTGTAACCCACAATCAGAAACTCTGAGGAAATGTGCTGTTAAATCATTCAGTGCTATTGTGGGTACTCAGGTGATTTGCATCACCTAGTTTCCAACATCCTACAGAGTTTGGAGGAGCTGTGGCCTGGCTTGAACTGGGCTCCTTAATTGCTGTCTTCAGGCTTCAATTCCTTCCCTAAACCCACCTATTTTCCTCCCTTAACCCATCTATTTTCTTCCCTACCTTGCACAGTGAGGGATAGCTCTTGAGTTCCCACCGTACTGCTTGGCTGGAGTTATGTTGCTCAGCTGGAAGAACCCAGAGTGCTGGGGAAAAACAAGGTAGATTTCCAATTTTCACTGTTCTCCCCGACAAATGAGTATTTTTTATTCATTTGTGTGTTTTAGTGAAGTGCGCTGTTTTCCTTACTGATGAAGTGCGGTGCCAGATTTTGAGTTTAAATACAGCTATTCTCATGAGAGGAAGGGATCTGTAAGCTTCTACCAGGTCTTATCTCAAAGCAGCCTGAATGCCACCCATCTCTCCACTTATACTGCAATTCCACTAAAATTAACTAATTACCTGCAGCACTGTTGACCCGTTCCCCTAAAAATACATAGGGTTGTCCATG